CACATCTTACACTGTAACCTAGGACAGTGGGAAATCAGGCTTTCTAAGTACTGTTGCTAAGGATGAGATTTGTTTAGATTTTCAGATAGCCTTTGTTTCAGTACAGCATTGTTTACAGCTGAGTGTGATTTACGGTGGGATCTAGTCAGCAGTGTTTTGTCTTCTGTTCTCATTCATATATATATATATATATGTTTAAATGCTTTGTTAGTTTTTTTTCTGTTGTCAGTGGGCTGAATTTTTATGGCCTTATGCGTATAGGAAAGTTGGATTGCTTAACAGTGAAATTCTGCAGGACTGTCTCTGTTTCCATTTTAGCAAATTCATGAATGTACCCAAATGCCTTTGTTACTTCTAAGTGTCACAACTGTGCGGTATTAACAGCATTGAAATAAACATGTACTTCTTCTCAAATCTGATGAATTTTGGAAAGCTAACTCTAGATAGCATATTTTATGTTAAAAGCTTTGGCCTAACAGCAAAGGTGCAATGTGTTGCAGGAAAAATAGGACCACCAAAACTGAATCTCTCAAGGCATGGCGATAAAATCATAGTTGATATTTACCATCCTGCATTCCCATCTGATGAAGTTCTTCCTTGGATCAGAGATGATTTTTCAGAGCTCGTGTATGTGGTGACTACTTGGGATAGTAAAAATCAGGTAAGCTCCAAAATGAAAACTTCAAATTAAAAATACTTGTTTACCTTAAACACATAAACAGGCGGTTCACTCTTATGATGCACAGAGCCAACAAATATCAAGCAAACAGTTGAACGTTACATAGGAGTACTGAAGCCCTAAAATGTCAAGTGCATCACAGTGAAATATGAGTGACTGAAAGGTCTGGATTTTACATGTCCAGATGGACATCTTATAACAAAAAATGAGGTTATTGCATTAGCTGTACACAAGATAGTTGCTTGATCCCAAGCTGTTGTTTTTTTGCATACATGCTAAAACATTGTTAGTGTTACTTGTGCCCTTTCATTTGCCTAGATAGACCTTTTGTTTAAGAAGATTGCCTTTCAAGATATTGATGCCACTGTTTAGCAGTCATGAAGGGCAAACTTGAGGAAAATGATAGTAGGTGTGTTTATTTACAGTTACCTTTTCGTACGCATCCAGGTACAAGTTTTATAAGTTAATTAGGAATGCACATCTAGGCTACGAACAGCACACATTTTAGCTGAAAGCACCGTGGTCTGATCAAATATAACATCTTAAGGTAGCTCATAAGCTGATAGCTGAAGTTCACACAGCTTTTGGAAGGCATATAGATGATGTAGGAGCTACATCTAATTGTGTTTTCATGTTTTTGGAAGTGTTGGAAGGTATGTAACAATTTTGTTGTTGTATTGAGTTAAATGATACAATGTGACTTTCATTTTTTGCAGAGTAGAGACAAGTTCCGTGAAGACAACTGTTGGACATCTGAATGTAGTCTCCACATTCCAGTTCCTGACGAAGGTTCCACTTACTGTGTTTCAGTGCAGGGAAGTTTATATGACGATGTGATGGTTGGCGCCCCATCAGAAGAAAGCTGCATTCATATTCCTGTGAAGGACACATCGAGTAAGAGGACGCTAAAACTTTAGTAAAAGCACACTGAGTCTGACCAGAGATCTGTTCTAGCTAAGTATTCGAGGTCTGATACAGCCATGGGATGACTTGAATGCCTGTGGGAGAATATAAAAAAAAGGGAAAGCATGGTCATACTCTTCTAAATGTACTTTCCCAGTTTTAAAGACCTTTAAAGATCATGTATTATTTTCAAGTAACCCTGGTGCTTTTCCTGCTTCCTTGGTATTATAAAACCTATTTCCATTGCACCTGATCCTTGGTGTAATTAAGAAGTGACAAATGGATCATTCACAGAGTTACATGGTTTTCAGAAGCATTGTCTATTGGCTTTTTGCTCAGTGTCATTGCTGAGGAAAATGTGTATAGACTTTCTTGCCTTTGAAGCAACTATAAACGTGTAGTCATAAAATTGAGGTTTTGATATATTTTTCTTAATTAAAGGCAGTTAGTCACCCAGCTTTATATCTCTGATAACCTCTTACAAACTTTTTAATGTTACTTCATTATGGCCCAAAACTTCACTAGAGAAAAGAGATAAAAATTGACAGAAGCAGTTTTGTGCCTTTTTTTTTTTTTAATGCACAAGAGCAGTGGTGTGATTGAGGGCAAGGACGTTGTGGAGGGTCAGACTAGTAGAATCTTTCTAGTAGTAGTTAACCATTCTGTGTTTTGGAAGATTTCACATTTTAATTTCATTGTACATAGACTATGTGTAATTATTATGTCAGTTAATATGCTATCACATGGAAAAAGTGCAAATCTGTTCATCCCCATCTGTCATTTCTAAGGAACAAAAATAAGTTACAAAATTCCTTTGCCTCTGTAAAAACATTATTTCAATTTTTATAAATTGAAAATCTTCTGTCATTCTAATTTTTATTTACTTGATATAATGCTTTATAAATTAAGTTTTCTGGAGTGAAAAACAGTGATAGATTGACAAATTCACACATTACAGTTGAGCATTCTGAGCTATTACAGTTTCTGACGTTATTCTAAATGATACAGCAGTGGTTTATTTTTCTGAACTTCCTCACAGATTTTGCTCTAACTTCTTAGGCACAAAATATGTCATCATTCTGTGTGGTGTTGTTCTGAGCCTGAGTCTGACGTTGTCAGTATGTTGTGGCTGCAAGAAACTAAGGAAGAAGAACATAAAACTGCCTAAGTCTTTGGTAAGTTCAGACTTCTTATCTACATCAGGTTTTTAATATCCAACTAGGTAAGTTCTATAACATCTTTATCCCTGTCTGTTTGTTTGGGTTTTTTTTTAAACCATGGACTCACAGATGTATAGGGTTTATAGCAGTCTAATATTCTGACAGCCTCTGTAACCGCATGCCTGGTATTTCTTTTAGGGCTAGACTTCAGTCTCTTTTTAACTGAAGTAGTTGTATTTGGTCTAGTTTGAGAACTTGGTTCTCAAAAACTCCATGTGTGTACATAGAGAGGTTTGTATTCATTCTAGTAGCTGAGATACAGAACCACAGAGTTTCTGAGGTTAGAAGAGACTTTTTGAGATTGTCTAGTCCAACCTTTTTGCTCAAGCAGGGTCAGCAAGAGCAAGTTGCCCAGGACCTTGTCCAGTTGGATTTTGAATACTTCCAAGGAAGGAGACTCCACAACTGCTCTGGGCAACCTATTCCAGTGTTTAACCACTCTCACAGTAAAAGGTGTTCTCTTACATTCAAATAAAATTCCATGTGTTTCAGTTTGTGCCCATTTCCTCTTGTCCTGTGGCTGGGCACCCTGAGAATCCTTCATTACATGCTAATATTGTGGTAAAGGCTAAGTGCTACAATGTTCTGAAAGTGATGTGCAGTGTAAGGGGAGGGGAGGAGTAATAGTGCTGTAGGAAAGAGGAGGAACAGCTAGGGGAAATCTGTTTTCACACGGAGCAGTCACAGGGAACAGAGATCAGCAGCTGCTTGACCTTAAAAGCTCACTGTAGCCACCCTTAGGAAACAGAGTGGGTGTTCCTTAAAGAGCAGCAGCATTCCTTGCTCACATATCAGGCAAGAGCGGAGTGTTGTGACGAGTACTGTTATAATGTCCTCGTGATGTCTTGTTAGGCAGCAACTGAACAATCAGCAGCAGCTGAAACAGCTTTCAAGAACTGTCTTGTGAGGCAATAGTAAATGGTAATCATATCAAGAGTGTATCTTCTCAGTGGATGCAAGAAGTTTCATAAGACTTCTAGAGAGAAGAGACAGTGGTCTTCAGTTGTG